CTCTGTGAGGGGTGGATATTATTGTTCTCACTTTATAGCTGAGAGAAGACTTAAAGACCCTAAGTAACTTGCCCAAGACCACTTAGCCTAGAAGTGTTTCCAATCTGACTTTCAAGTTCACTTTTAAGTTGACTTTCAAGTCAACAACTATGCATTACTGCCTCTCTGGGTGGATAAGAAAGTGCTTTGTGGATAAGACTACATTTGTTAAGTAGGAATGAAGTTCATTTTTGAGTATTTAAAATACTTCAGAAACTCTCTTAGAAATGTATGAATTTTCAATTTTTTTTTTTTTTTGAGACAGTCTCATTCTGTCACCCAGGATGGAGTGCAGTGGTACTATCTCCACCCCCTGCAGCCTCCACCTCGTAGGTTTAAGCAGTTCTCCTACCTCAGCCTCTCAAGTAGTTGGGACTATAGGCGCATGCCACCATGTCTGGCTAATTTTTTGTATTCTTAGTAGAGACTGGGTTTCAGTGTGTTGGCCAGGATGTTTTCGATCTGTTGACCCTCCCAAAGTGCTGGGATTACAGGTATGAGTCACCGCACCCAGCCTAATTTGTTTTTTGGTGGTGGTTTTTTTTTGGGGTTTTTTTTTTTTTTTTGGCAGGGGAACAGAATCTTGCTCTTGCCCAGGCTGGAGTGCAGTGGCACAGTCTTGGCTCACTGCAACCTCCACGTCATGCGCTCAGGTGATTCTCCTACCTCAGCCTCCCAAGTAGCTGAGACTACAGGCAGGCGCCACTACATCTGGCTAATTTTTTTTTTGTATTTTTAGTAGAGGCAGGGTTTCACCATATTGGCCAGGCAGGTCTCAAACTCCTGACCTCAAGTGATACACCCACCTCAGCCTCCCAAAGTGCTGGGATTACAGGCGTGAGCCACCATACCCGGTCTAGAGGTGTTAAAGTAATTTGAATCCAAGTTAGTTAACCAAAAATATTCAGCCAGTGCTCTCCTCCATATTGGATTACAAAAGAACACTGAATGAAAATTTATTCTATCTTAAAAATACCCTCATACATTAATTCTACATGAAATAGTTACTTGTATTAACAACATACTGGTAATAACACAATTTGTAAATTGATAAAGTGGAAGAAAACTTACCAAATTTAGTAATATTTTATAAATTTGCAAATTGTGACAATATCGACATTTTATATAATATGCATTAATTTAAGAATGTAATGTATCGGTCAGGCACAGTGGCTCACATCTGTAATTCCAGCACTTTGGGAAGCGTGGCAGCCAGATCACTTGAGGCCAGGAGTTCAAGACCAGGCTGGCCAACATGGTAAAACCTCATCTCTACTAAAATTACAAAAATTAGCTGTGTGTGGCATCTCATGCCTGTAAGTGTGTGGTGTCTCACACCCAACCCCTAACATATTTTTAATACCCAGCTTGAGTCTATCTTGTCCTATGATAATTTAAGAGAAAAACAAATGTTCCTTTTCAGCTAATTTTCCACTGACTAGATCTGACCCTTCTCTTTATACTTAGCTCATTTCAACATATCATTTAATATTACATAATGTCTCTTGTTTTACAGTTTATTTAGGTCATATATTAAAATGGCTATTTTCCAACCATAATCTTATTAAAAATTTTTCCCAAAATGATGCTTTAAGATGAGATTTTTTCTCTCTTTTTTTAAAAACAGAGTCTTGTTCTGTCAGCCAGGCTTTAGTGCAGTTGGGTGATCGTGGCTTACTGGCCCCGCCTCCCAGGTTCAAGTGATTCTTGTGCCTCAGCCTCCCTAGCAGCCAGGACTACAGGCACTTGCCATCATGCCAGCTAACTTTGTATTTTTGGTAGAGATGGGGTTTCACCATGTTGGCCAGGATGGTCTCGCTCTCTTGACCTTGCAGTTCTCTTGCACTCTAGACAACAGAGTGAGACTCCATCTCAAAAAAGAAAATATGGAATAAAGACTTAAATCCAAGACCTCCAACTATGAAATGACTAAAAGAAAACATTGGAAACACTTTCTAGGACATTGGAGTGAGCAAATATTTCTTGGGTAATACCCCATGAGCATAGGCAATCAAAATGAAAGAGGACAAGTGGGACCATATCAAGTTAAAAAAAATTCTTTACAGCAAAGGGTAAATGCAACAAAGTGGCCAGGCACGGTGGCTAACACCTGTAATCCTAGCACTTTGGGAGGCTGAGGCGGGTAGATTGCCTGAGCTCAGGAGTTTGAGACCAGCCTGGCCAATATGGCGAAACCCCATCTCTACTAAAAATATAGAAATTAACCAGACATAGTGGTATGCTCCTGTAGTTGCAGCTACTTGGGGGGCTGAGGCAGGAAAATTGCTTGAACCCAGGAGGGTGAGGCCTCAGTGAGCCGAGATCACAACACTGTACTCCTGGGCTATAGAGTGATACCCTGCCTTTAAAAATAAATAAATAAATAAATAAATAAGTGAAGGTACAACCCACAAACAAAATGGGAGGAAACATTTGCAAACTACCCATGTGACAAGGGATATATGAGGAGCTCAAACAACTCTCTAGGGGAAAAAAATCTCATAATCAAATTTAAAACGGGAAAATGATTTCAATAAACATTTCTCAAAAGAAGACATGCAAATGGGGCTGGGTGTGCTGGTTCACACCTGTAATCCCAGCACCTTGGGAGGCCACAGTGGGCAGATCACTTGAGATCAGGAACTCGAGACCAGCCTGGCAAACATGGTGAAACCCCATCTCTGCTAAAAATAGAAAAATTAGCCAGGTGTAGTGGTGGGCACCTGTAATCCCAGCTTCTCAGGAACCTGAGACAGGAGACTCACTTGAAGAACCTGGGACATGGAGATTGCAGTGAGCCAAGATTGCACCACTGCACTTCCAGCCTGGCCAACAAAGTGAGACTCAATCTCAAAAAAAAAAAAAAAAAGACATACAGATGGCAGGCAGGTATCTGAAAAGGTGCTGAACATGACTGGTCATCTGAGAAATGCAAATCAAAAGTATTTTGAGATATTATCTCACCCCAATTAAAATGTCTTTTTTTCCAAAAGACAGACAATAACAAATGCTGGTGAGGAAGTGGAGAAAAGGGAACCCTCCATACACTGTTGATGGGAATATAAATCAGTACAACCACTATGGAAAATAGTTAAGAAGTTCCTCAAAAAACTAAAAATAGAGCTGCCATACAATCCAGCAATCCTGCTCCTAAGAATATAACCGAAAGAAAGGAAATCAGTGTATCAAAGAGGTATCTGCACTCCCATGTTTATTGCAGCACTATTTGCAATAGCCAAGATTTGGAAGTAAGCTGTGTCCATTGACAGACAAGTAGATAAAGAAAATATGGTAGACATACACAGTGGAGTACTATTGAGCCATAAAACAGAATGAGATCCTGTCATTTGTAACAACATGGGTGGAACTGGAGGCCATTTTGTTAAGTGAGATAAGCCAGGCACAGAAAGGCACACTTCGCATCTCCTTAGTTTTGGGAACTGGAAATTAGAACAGTTGAACTCACAGAGATAGAGTAGAATGATGGTTACCAGAGGCTGGGATGGCTATTTGGAGGCAGGTGGGATGGATGGTTAATGGGTGTAAAAATATATATAGAATGATTGAGGCCTAGCTTTTGCTAACACAAGAGTGTGACTATAGTCAAAAATAATTTAGTTGTACATTTTAAAATAAGTAAGATTGGCGCCGGGCGCGGTGGCTCAAGCCTGTAATCCCAGCACTTTGGGAGGCCGAGGCGGGTGGATCACGAGGTCAAGAGATCGAGACCATCCTGGTCAACATGGTGAAACCCCGTCTCTACTAAAGGTGCAAAAAATTAGCTGGGCATGGTGGCGCGTGCCTGTAATCCCAGCTACTCCGGAGGCTGAGGCAGGAGAATTGCCTGAACCCAGGAGGCGGAGGTTGCGGTGAGCCGAGATCGCGCCATTGCACTCCAGCCTGGGTAACAAGAGCGAAACTCCGTCTCAAAAAAAAAAAAAAAAAAAATAAGTAAGATTGGAGGAGTAGGAGGAAACACAAGAGTGTACAACCGGGCATGGTGGCACATGCCTATAGTCCCAGCTACTAGGGAGGCTGAGGGAGGAGAATTGCTTGAACCTGGGAGGCAGAGGTTGCAGTGAGCTGAGATTGCACCCTTGCACTCCAGCCTGGGTGACAGAGTGAGACGCCGTCTCAAAAAACAAAAGTTAAAAAGTTAAAGAAAAAGAAGAGTGTAATTGCATTGTTTGTAACAAAAACAGTAAATGATTCAGGGGATGGATACCACATTTACTCTCACATGATTATTGTGCATTGCATGCCTGTATCAAAATACCTCATGTAACCCACAAATACATATACCTACTATGTATCCACAAAAAATAAAAATTTTAAAATATATATATTTATATGCACACACAGACTCAGTGGGATGTTGGGGAAAATGCAATCGATACTATGCAATTTGGTGCTACAAAACAAGTACAGAACAGTTGCATTGTATCTATTATTGGTATACCACAGAAGTACAATGATAATACAAAATAGGTACAAAGTATTATTAGGGTATAAAACAGGAGCAGCTAATGGTACAGAGAAAGGAAAACTGGTACAGATTGGATTAGTCATATAGGCATAATTGAAAAAAAAAAAAAAAAACAGGCAACATGGTATCATTTTTTGTGACTGTAATGTATTTTTCAGGACCTTGTATAGTATTTTTCTATTTTGTGAAATAAGATTATAACCCCCCCAAAGCTGTTTATAAGTTATATATTAGCTGAGCATGCCAAGAGCTCTTATTTCTTGTTATAGTGTGGTATGTCAATTATAAACTATATTCAAAGCCAGGTGGATTTGAGGAAGTAAAATATCTACTTGGCCTACTTATTGTGTTGTATAGATCTAAACAATAGAAATGTTTAATATATTCTGAAGATACAGATTATAAAACTTTCCTTAAATATTAACTAGTTTTGATCAATATAACAGTCCTTTTTCTTTTATTATATCTTGTTAAGGGTCAACTGTATTTGTTGGTAACGGACCAGGGATTTCTCACTGAAGAAAAAGTTGTTTGGGAAAGCCTACACAATGTAGATGGTGATGGAAATTTCTGTGACTCAGAATTTCATCTTCGGCCTCCTTCAGATCCTGAAACTGTATACAAAGGACAACAAGATCAGATAGATCAGGTAAATTTGTATTGTCTTCTTTATTGTGCTTAAAATGCTCATTTTTTTTCAAATGTCAGTTTAGTTATCCAAAGTTTTTCAACTAAAGATTAATTCGTCAATATACTTGTGAAATTTTCCTGGCACTTCCTGAATAGTTGATGATCATTCTACATGTACATTAATTACATACTTTGGTGCCGAAGGCGAGATCACACTGAACTGTGAAGGTCATGGTGAGAAGTTTGAATTTTATTGTAACTGCACTAGGGAGGCTATGTCATGTATTAAACACAGAAGTGATGTGATCTTCTTTACCTTTTTGAAAGACTGATATTTGGAAAATACGTAGTAAGGATACAGGTCTAAGCAGAGACGAACATTCCAAGCAAGAGCTGATGACAGCTTAACCTTGGTGGGTACGGATGAAGACATGAGCACATATTTGAGCTGTATTTTGACTAATTAGAAAAACTAAAGGAGAGAGAATCTGGAAGGTAGCATGTACTGTATAAAGAATAGGTGAGTATTCTAAGCCTTAGAGGCTAAGGTAAGGAGGAGTAGACATTTATGGCAACAGATGTACTAGTGAATAGAACTTGCATTTAGAACTAAGGTGAGTTTTTGTGTGTATGTGTGTCTTTTATTTTTTAACAGATTAGATTTTTGCCTGCCATAAATGGGCAGGCTTGGAGTCACAGGTCTGTTTATTATTAGAAGTATGATGGTGATGTGGATTTTTCCCTCACTGAGGCAGAAATATGGTCATATTAAACAGTTGGCATACATTTCACTAATAACAATTTAAGTGCACAAAGACTGTTCAGTTAGCCAGTATTCAGTGAGGAGTTGTATTCCTTGCACTATAATTAGGTCCTAGAGCTACAAAGATAAATCACTCGGTCCTGTCCTTGAAGATGCTATAGGGAAGGGAGATATTTGGCCAACTCATGTTATGTGTTAAGTTCTATAATGGCTATTTGAAGAGCAGGTGTAAGTACATAAAACAATACTGAATTCAAACAAATGTGAATCTCTCTAGGTCTTTTCTTCAAAAAACAGTTCCGACAGTCATTGTGCTCATTTTCCTTCAGAAGCTATACAAGGGTATTGTTTTTTAACTGTTAAGAAAAATGTGCAGGATTTTTCTAAGCTTTATATTATATACTAAAAAATATTGGGCCAGGCGCAGTGGCTCACACCTGTAATCCCAACACTTTTGGAGGCTGAGGCAGGCGGATCATCTGAGGTCAGGAATTTTGAGACCAGCCTTACCAACTTGGTGAAACCCTGGCTCTACTAAAAATACAAAAATTAGCTGGGCGTGGTGGCGCGTGCCTGTTACCCCAGGTATTGGGAAGGCTGAGGTAAGAGGATTGCTTCAACCCAGGAGGCACTATTTCACTCCAGCCTAGGTGATAGAGCAAGAGTTCATCTAAAAAAAATATATTGGAGCAGGGGAATGAAGGCAAAGTAATAGATTGTCACAGTAGTCCAGATAAGGTGTTTCGATTGTTATCTGGAAGTAGCTAGAAAGGTGGATTCAAGATGATGAGGCTTGATAAAGAGCAGAGTTTAAAGAATTCAGAACTTGAAGGACAAATTCTTTGTATCTTTGCATCCATAAGATAGTCATGCTGTGTATGTGAGAAGATCTTTACAGGCAACGACATTTTTTTTTTGAGAGAGTCTCACTCTGTCACCCGGGCTGGAGTACAGTGGTACGATCTCGGCTCACTGCAACCTCTACCTTCCAGGCTCAAATGATCCTTCCAGCTCAGCCTCCTGAGTAGCTGGGACTACAGGTGTGTGCTACCGCGTCTCACTAATTTTTGTATTTTTAGTGGAGGCAGGCTTTCACCATGTTGCCCAGACTGGTCTCGAACTCCTGGGCTTAAGTGATCAGCCCACCTTGGCCCCCTAAAGTGCTGGGATTACAGGCGTGAGCTACTGCACCCGGCCACAGGCAAAATCCTTTTACCCATCCTCTGCATCATTTAAAATTCTCTTACTTTAAGGGTAGATGGGGGAGGAGATACACAGAGTGATCAAGTTTTACTCAGCACCGACTCCTAATAAAGTGGATATTAAGTTAACGCTTGACCAAAATGTACCACTTTTTCTGATAAGAATTAATTTTAGTGTGTACATGGCATGCAGGAGAAAGGTGGTTAAATAGTTAAGACTATATAATTGCTACTATGTTGGCTTTAAAAATCATCTTTTAGGCTGAGCACAACGGCTGACGTCTGTAATCCCAGCACTTTGGGAGGCCGAGGCGGGCAGATCGCCTGAGGTCAGGAGTTCAAGACCAGCCTGACCAACATGAAGAAACCATGTCTCTACTAAAAATACAAAATTAGCTGGGCACGGTGGTGCGTTCCTGTAATCCCAGCTACTCAGGAGGCTGAGACAGGAGAATCACTTGAACCCGGGAGGCAGAGGTTGCAGTGAGCCAAGATCGCGCGATGGCACTCCATCCTGAGCACCAAAAGTGAAACTCTGTCTCAAAAAAAAAAAAAAGAAAAAAACATATTTTAGATGAATATTTAATAATCTTGGGAAATTCTTGTTTTTAAAACAGAAGACTTTTATGACACTAAATGGAAAAGAAAACAGATTATGATAATTTCAGAGGGTTCAATTTGTATGTGAATGTAGAAAAAATAATAAACTACTGTTAACAGTAGTTATCCTTGTATAATGATATTATGGTGATTTAAACATTGTTTATGGTTTTCAGTTTTGTCTGAATTGTCTGTAGGCATGTTTCTTTTGTAAACGGGAACTTTTTTTTTTTAATTCTTTAAACCAATTTACTTATTTATTTATTTATTTTTGAAACAGGGTCTCAGTCACCCAGGCTAGAGTGCAATGGTGTGAGCACAGCTCACTGCAGCCTCAACTTTCTGGGCTCGAGTGTACCTCCCACCTCAGCCTTCCCGAGTTGCTGGGACCACAGGCATGGTCACCATGCCCAGCTAATTTTGAGTGTGTTTTTTCAGAAACAGAGTTTTGCAGTGTTGCTCAGGCTGCTCTCAAACTCCTGGGCTCAAGCAGCTTGCCTCCTTAGCCTTCGAGAGTGCTGGGATTATAGGTGTGTGCCATCATACCTGGCTCCCCACAACCTTTTTTTTTAGCCTTCTTGAGTGCCTATATATGGCTTCCAGAAAAAAATTTCAGCTGGGTGCAGTGTGGCTAATGCCTGTTTGAGACCATGAGCCACACTTGGGAGTTTGAGACCATCCTGACCAAAACATGGAGAAGCCTCATCTCTACTAAAAATATGAAAATTAGCCAGGCTTGGTGGCATATGCCTATAATCCCAACTATTCAAAAGGCTGAGGCAGGAGAATCTCTTGAACTCGGGAGGCAGAGGTTGCAGTGAGCCAAGATCACACCATTGTACTCCAGCCTGGTCAAGAAAAACAAAACTCAGTCTCAAAAAAAAAAAAAAAATCAAATAAGTTATCCTCTTTTTTTTTTTTTTTTTAATCCGAGTCTTGCTCTGTCGCCCAGGCTGGAGTGCAGTGGCACAATCTCAGCTCACTGCAATCTCAGCCTCCCAGGTTCAAGCGATTCTCCTGCCTTAGTCTCTCTAGTGGCTGGAATTACAGGTATGTACCACCACATCTGGCTAATTTTTGTGTTTTTAATAAGAGACAGGGTTTCACCCTGTTGGTCAGGCTGGTCTCAAACTCCTGGGCTCAAGCGATCCACCCTCCTTGGCCTCTCAAAGTGCTGGGATTACAGGTATTAGCCACCACGCCAAGCCTCCAAAAATATTTAGAACAATGATAGAATCACTGAAACAAGTTAATAGCTCCCCAAGGGAAATACTTAGGAAGATAACTTTCATTTTATATTTAAAATAAAATGTTTTTATTTTTTTATTTTTTATTAACTTTTTTGAGACGGAATCTTGCTCTGTCACCAGGCTGGAGTGCAGTGACGCAGTCTCGGCTCACTGCAACCTCCGCCTCCTGGGTTCGAGCGATTCTTCTGCCTCAGCCTCCCAAATAGGGAGGGGACCCCAGGCGCGTGCCACCATACCCGGCTAATTTTTTTGTATTTTTAGTAGAGACAGGGTTTCACCATGTTGACCAGAATGGTATTGGTCTCTTGACCTTGTGATCCACCCGCCTCGGCCTCCCAGAGTGCTGGGATTACAGGCGTGAGCCACGGTGCCTGGCCCAAAACGTCTTTATTTTATTATTTTGTTTTGTTTTTCTTTTTCTTTTTTTTTCTTGAGACAGTGTTTTGCTCTTATTGCCCAGGCTGGAGTACAGTGGTGCAGTCTCGTCTCACAGCAACCTCCACCTCCTGGGTTCAAGCTATTCTCCTGCCTCAGCCTCCTGAATAGCTGGGATTACAGGCATGCACCACCACGTCTGGCTAATTTTGTCTTTTTAGTAGAGATGGGGTTTCTCCATATTGGTCAGGCTGATTGATCTCGAACTACCAACCTCAGGTGATCCATCTGCCTCGGCCTCCCAAAGTGCTGGGATTACAGGCATGAGCCACCATGTCCGGCCGCCTTTTTTTGTTTTTATTTTATTCTTTTTTTTTTTTTTTTTTTTGAGACGGACTTTCACTCTTGTTACCCAGGCTCGAGTGCAATGGCACGATCTCGGCTCACCGCAACCTCCGCCTCCTGAGTTCAGGCAATTCTCCTGCCTCAGCCTCCTGGGTAGCTGGGATTACAGGCACGCGCCACCATGCCCAGCTAATTTTTTGTATTTTTAGTAGAGACGGGGTTTCACCATGTTGACCGGGATGGTCTCGATCTCTTGACCTTGTGATCCACCCTCCTCGGCCTCCCAAAGTGCTGGGATTACAGGCTTGAGCCACCGCGCCCGACTATTTTATTCATTTTTATAGACAGGGTCTGTCTCTGTCACCCATGCTGGAGTGCAGTGAAGAGATCATAACTCACTGTAGCCTAAAACTCCTGGGCTGAAGTGAATCTCCTGCCTCAGCCTTCCAAGTAGCTAGGACTGCAGGTGCACACCACCATACCTGGCTGATTTTTAAACTTTTTTTTGTAGAGACAGAGTCTTGCTATATTGCCCAGGCCTGGTATATATTTTTAAAGCTACTCTTACAGCTTTATAGATAAAACATTTATATTTGCAGTCACTCGTTCTTCGATAAAATCTCATAGCTAATGATGATTATATTTTAATTTGTTAGGATTATCTTATGGCATTATCTCTACAACAAGAACAGCAGAGCCAAGAGATCAATTGGGAACAAATCCCAGAAGGAATCAGTGATTTGGAACTAGCAAAGAAACTTCAAGAGGAAGAGGACAGACGGGCTTCTCAATACTATCAGGAACAGGAACAAGCAGCAGCATCTGCTGCTGCTGCTTCTACACAGGCTCAGGTAAAAACTAGTGTTCTGAGTCTTAAATGTGACGATCATGGCTGGATGCGGTAACTTACACCTGTAATCCCAGCACTTTGGGAGGCCTAGGTGGGTGGACTGCTTGAGACTGGGAGTTTGAGACCAGCCTGGCCAACATGGCAAAACTCCGTGTCTACTAAAAATACAAAAATTAGCTGGGAATGGTGGGGCACACCTGTAATCCCAGCTACTCAGGAGGACTGAGGCAGGAGAATCAGTTAAACCTGGGAGGGAGAGGGTGCAGTGAACTGAGATTGTGCCACTGCATCCCATCCTAAGTGGCAGAGCAAGACTCGAATGTCTCAAAAAATAAATGTAAAGATCACTTTAGCAATAAATTTCTGCTTGACATAAAAAAAAATTTTTAATTAGGTATTAATCCTTCAGTTTTATTAGGATTTTAGAACTCATGGGTTTTATGACATTGTCCTAAGTTAATATGTCATTGAGTAAAATTTTTTCTCCTGAGGTTCTGATTTTCAAGTTTATTTTTAAAATTCATAATAGCCACAAAGAAAATAAGCCAATTTGGACAAAGTCCTTTCTATCAACTAGAGGGCAGAATGAGGTACGACTGGAAAAAAAATACAGACTTTGGAGCCAGGTAAATGTGGATTTGCATTTCCTGCTCCTGTCTTTCCTTCCTAGTTACAACCTCTTAGATGACATCCTCTACCTCTGTTAGCTTCCGAGAAAAAAAAAAATCTGTTTATTATGGTATTTAATGAGGTTTTGAAGAACTATCAAAAGGTATCACTTTTTTTTAACATTTTCTAAAGTTTTAACAAATATATCTTAAATGTATGACTTTAGGCAGTATAATCACATTTTATTTACTGTATGAAATTTAGACTTCAGGAGGTCAAGACAGGTGGATCATGAGGTCAGGAGTTGGAGACCAGCCTGGCCAACATAGTGAAACCCCGTCTCTACTAAAATACAAAAAACAATCCGGGTGTGGTCGCAGGTGCCTGTAATCCCAGGTACCCATGAGGCAGGAGAATCAGTTGAACCCAGGAGGTAGAGGTTGCAGTGAACCGAGATCGCACCATTGCACTCCAGTCCGGGCAGCAGTGTGAGACTCCTTCTCAAAAAAAAGAAAAGAAAAATTTCATTTATTTAGAATAATGAATATATTAATTATATCCAGAATGGTAGAGGCAGTTGCTCAGATACCATGCAATATAACAAATCTGTATATCAATAGCTTCTTTTATCATCAGTGATTCCTTTCACTGTTTTTCTTTCTAGATATCCATAAGTAAGTCCCTTAGAATAGTTGGAGTAATTTCCTGTGTACTTTTCTTAAAGCAGGGCCAGCCAACACAAGCCTCGCCATCAAGTGGAAGACAGTCTGGGAGTAGTGAACGTAAAAGGAAGGAACCACGAGAAAAAGATAAAGAAAAAGAAAAGGAAAAAAATAGCTGTGTTATTTTGTAACAAGTGTTGGCTTCTGTTGGAACCACCCTATATTTCTTGATAAACAAAACCACAGGAGGAAAGGAAGAAAATCGATCAATACCGTCTGTGCCTGATTTCCCAAAGGATTTTGTTCATGTTTTTTCAGGGGAAAGTTGTTACTTAGTTACAATCAGACTTTTTCAAGTCACACAATACACTCTTTATGAGCTGGAGTTTCATGTTACAAGTTGGAAATGCTGTGTGTTGTCATTCATAAAAAATACTGCACTTGTAGCCAGATAAGCAAATCACAGCAAATTTTGTGTCATAGTGACATTCATAACTCATCAGTTAGTAAGCTATTATATCTTCTGTTCTAACAATGAATGGAGGTAATTGATTTAGTCTGATTCCTTCCTGAAATCTAAATATTAGCACAATAGTTTCTGAAACTTTACACTGTTAAATTATGATCTAATCCATGAGAAACCACGGGCTTAATGTAGGGATTCAAAAAAGCAAAAACAAATAAAATAATAGGAATAAATAACCCTTAATTGTATATTGGACTAGTTCAGCCCTTGAACAGCTTTACCTTTATTTAGGAATGTACATTTTAGATATTATCTTGAGAACTGAAAATGGAGCTTAGATTTAATTTAGGTAGCGAAAATAAAGATTTGTATTTCTTTTCCAGTAGCAAAAAGTTACATAACACTAATACTTATAACCTATCAAAATCAGTATAAATGACTTTGTAGTGTTGTAAAATTTTGAGGAATTTTGGAGTCTTTATCATTGGTAACCTGGACCACAGTTACTATTTATTGACAATGTGATTAAGTGAGGGCATGGAGGAAAGCACAGTGGATGCTAGGCCTTGTAAATATGGGGATGTAGAAAGCAGTTCAGTGTCTACCTTTTTCTAGAATTACCTTGAACCTTAAATTTTAAGTCACGTTCATTGGTAGAAAATTAAGTATACTTATTAAAATCAATGATAAAGCACATTTCTGAAAGGAAGTTAGAGATAATCTCTGTGTCTTGTGAAACGACATTAATAAAAATCTGAGAGGGCCAGGCACAGTGGCTCCCAGCACTTTGGGGGGCTGAGATGGGTGGATCATCTGAAGCCAGGAGTTTGAGATCAGCCTGGCCAACATGGTGAAACCCTGTCTCTCCTAAAAATGCAAAAATTAGCCAGGCCTGGTGGGATGTGCTTGTAATCCCAACTCCTTGGGATGCTGAGGCAGGAGAATCGCTTGAATCTAGGAGTTGGAGGTTGCAGTGAGCTGAGATCACACCACTGCCCTCCAGCCTGGGTGACCGAGCAAGACTTCATCTTAAAAGAAAAAAAAAAATCTGATAGTAGCTAAGAATTTTGGAGAAATTTATGTAAAAGCAATCAGAGTTTTTAACTTATGGGAACCAAATAAAACTATAACCTCTTAGAGTGTTTATAGAACTCAGAAATAATATTTATTTAACTTTATTATGAGGCAATGCATATTTTCCTGTATTTCTAGATAATAGTTTGGAAAACTATCCTTAATAGTCCGTTTTATATGCCTTATATTTAAAAGTTTGTTTTAGTCATTTTTGAAAGACTATTGCTGCTGCAGATAGTTGTATTCTTTACATTCTAAGCTTCAGTAAATTTCTTTATTTAAGAGCATCATAATCTGACCTGAGCATCCACTTGGAGAATGTTTTTTTGTGTGTGTGGTCTAGCGTGACAAGAGACCACAAAAATTTGTGGTCTAGATTTTTTCAACTATGTCATTAACTTTATGATCCAAGAGCAGTTATAGGACAAATCTATATGTAAAAATAAAGTCTTATTTATGGAAGGAATTATTCTAAGGGAAAAATCCAGGGTCAAGCTGTATCTTTTATGTCCTCTATATTGCATGTCTATTCTGTTACACAATTTGTTATTTCTTCAAATATCCTGTGGTAGCATGATAAATCATCAAAGAACCTGTTTGGGATATAAAACTTTGATAGAAAATATTTGATGAGTATCTTGATAATAACCTGGAATATGTATACATTAGTAAAATAACCAGATATACTACAGAACTCTCTGTTGACTCAAACAGGTTGACCTCAGTCCAAGTTTACTCTTGATATCACTCTATTGGCTGAAGGAGGAAACTCGAACTTCAGGGTTTGTTTTTCCCAGGATAGATAGTAGTGATACTGCATTGTATTTTAATAAGAAAAACAAACAAGTAAACCTTGAGAAATTTTAAAAAGCATAATTGAGGCATATTTTTTCATAGTTATATACTTATCTATTTATTGCCCATGGAAAATATATGTGTAGAAGTATTTCTTCTGTTATTTGTTACTATCTTCTTAATTTGTTCCAAAGATAATACTGCCATACTGCATTCCCTCTGGAAGGAAACAAAACAAAACTCACTCAAAACCAGCAGTGCTGCTATCAGATAAGTAGATGTCATGTATACTTACAAGGAAAAACTAAAAAATTTAATTTGTTAATTCAGCCTTTTTCTATGTAATACTTCCAAGTCAGACTCTTACATTCCTGGAATTTAGTTGGATATAGCAAGAATAATAATGATAAAATGTTTGCTTTGATTACTGTTGGAGGCAGAATGAAATGTTCAGTTGTATTAAAACAAAGTTTTCAGAGATACTTAATTCATGTCCTTGAAGATTGTAAAGAATTTAGATCATGCCTATAATCCCAGCACTTAGGGAGGCTGAGGCAGGTATAACACCTAAAATCAGGAGTTTGAGACCAGCCTAGGCAACCTGTCTCTACTAGCAAACCTAGCGAAACCCTGTCTCTACTAAAAATAGAAAAATTAGCCAAGGGTAGTGGCAGATACCTGTCATCCCAGCTACTTGGAAGGCTGGGGCAGGAGAATCACTTGAAACCAGGAGGCAGAGTTTGCAGTGAGCTGAGATCATGCCACTGCATGCCAGCCTGGGCAACAGAGCAAGCAAGACTCCATCTGAAAAAAAAAGAAAAAAAAATAATTTAGAATGATTTGGTCTTTATTTTCTTAAATTTTGCCCAAGGTAACATGTTATATATCCAGGCATTTCATTGCTGGTTTGGGTATATAGGATTTTGATAATAGTATATTAAAGTCTTTCCTTCCCAGTATTTTGTAATACTTGAAAATAATTACATGTACAGTGCTAACAAAAGTTAGAACTTAAACATTTTTGTTTTATTTATAGGCTAGATTAGGGACACATTTGCATCAACCAGATCATCATTAGATTTGAAAAAGAGGCAGATGAATGAAGAAATGCGGTCATTGCACTTTCCTTTTACTTTCAGAGTCTAAGTCTATTCCTTAAGGTTAGTAACCAGTCTTTATTAAAAATGCAAAATTTTTCTTCATGTCTAAATTCATTGCATCCACAATGCTGTGATTTATAGTACATGATCAGTACTTAAAAGTACTTACTGTATGTGTGTGTGTTTCTGAACAAGTTTTCATGACCTCTGTTAGATTCTCAAAAGAATTCAAAACTTTCCTTCACATTTAAGAATCGCCATTTTAAGAATACATGTGTATATATACACATTAAGCAGTATGAGGCAGCTAAAATTGGCATTGGTTTTACACTGGTTCAGTGTGCTTAGGCAAAGTAACGTCTTCCATGTTTCAAGGTCAGTTTCAGACTTGAATGAAGCATAGATTTAAATTTAGGATTAGGCTTTGGAATTTGTCTTGTTTTTATTGTCTCACATTTCTAATTTTGACTACTTATCCCATGTTATGTTTCAAATTTATTTTTCATGTTTCAAGTTCCTTTTCATACTTCTTGATCTTGGCTTAACTAAGCAAGTTAATATCAGAGGCTAGTTGACTGAACCCAAGATAAACCATTTAGTACTTGCAGAAAACCTTCTTAGCATTTTTTTTCTTTTTTCCTTTTCCCATCCCACTTGTCAGCAGAAAGCATTTTTTTTTTCAATGAATCAGTCAGTTCACTAAGAGACAGATCATGAGAGGAAAGAGAACTAGAAGGCCGATAAATATTTAAGAAAACAGTTGTTCATATATTAATGTTGTCATGTAAACCACGTATCTAATACTTTGCTGGAGAAAAATCCAGGCAAGAATTTCCAGAACTGTCCTCAAATAAGTCATTTATTTAAGTTTAAAGGAAAAAGCAAATTGATTACATTTGATTAACTTTTCCTGTTCCATGCACTAGTTATTTTAAAATATAATAAAAAGCTTGTGGGCATTAACTATCACACAGTACTTATGTATAAACTTATAATAGTAAAGTAACTTATGTTTGATAAAATAAGATGGAGGCATTACAGATAGTCTACAATTTGTGTTTTAAGGAATTGGACATGAAGAAGTCTAGATCATTTTGTGTCTAAAAACCTGACTTCCTATTTTGCCTTGGGCAAACTTTCTGTGCCTCAATGTACTCTTTAAATATGTGAAGGATGCTCTTTTTGGTTAAGTGCTTTGCACACCTGAATACAGGGCATAGTATAAGCACAAAGTATGACTTAAGTTATCACAAATATTACACATCCTGTGTTCTTGAATGTGCACACTTTTTTCTCAACAAAATGTATCTTAAATCAGTTTTTTTCTTACTGTTGTCAAAATTTGTAGAATTATCTTTTCTTTGAGTATGGCATCATCTCTTCCCAAATGCATTTTACAGTTGCTTTTGTGTTCTATAGACTAGAGTCAAAATCAAGAGTATTTTGGGAGTATCAGAAGCATTTAAAAATCTATTTTTTCTAGTATCTTTCACAAATCTAAATATTTAGATTCTCTTTGCCTTTTTCTCCGCAGAATAAAGTACAATAGTATCAAATTACTAATACAGTATATAAACTTTGTTTGCATTGGTTGAATTCGTTTGTATCTCTCAAATACTAATTTTAGGGCTATATAAATTGTGTTTTTAGTGTAAAATGTTGTTTGACAATGTGATGTTAAATACCTTTTAGAAAGTAACTGAAAATGGTAAAGGAACTCATCAGAATCTTAGAGTTCTTAGATTCTCTGATAATGTATTATCTTTTGTTAATGATGTCCAACACTTCTAAAACTGTTGAGAATGGGGCCGGGCACGGTGACTCAAGCCTGTAATCCCAGCACTTTGGGAGGCTGAGGCGGGTGGATCACAAGGTCAAGAGATCGAGACCATCCTTGTCAACATGGTGAAACCCCGTCTCTACTAAAAATACAAAAAATTAGCTGGGCATGGTGGCACGTGCCTGTAATCCCAGCTACTCAGGAGGCTGAGGCAGGAGAATTGCCTGAACCCAGGAGGCGGAGGTTGCGGTGAGCCAAGATCATGCCATTGCACTCCAGCCTGGGTAACAAGAGCGAAACTCCGTCTCCAAAAAAAAAAAAAAAAAAAAAAAACTGTTGAGAAAACATAAAGAATTAAGGTTACTTTTCTCAGGTGACACTTTAAATATTAAAATCAGAGGCTTCCTGAACAAAACATATTGCAAAATAGAGATAATGGCATGGGAGAGGCCAAATGCAGGACTCTGGTAAATTTAACTTATTTTGAATATCTATCTAAATTTTAGTTTATGCATGTTCTTACTTAATCCTGGTGTTTCTGCTGTTAGAAATTAGAGTTTAATAAATTGTGATATGCATACATATTTTTTACATGAAGGATTCTAGTTTCTAACTTTACTTTTCTGATCTCAAGAAAATTAAATTTGAAAAACAGGGTAAAATTCTTCAACTATTGCCTCAAGTTCATTTTTGTCCTGTTGTCCTGAGAAAGGAGATTTAGACTTGTCTGCCTAATACAGGTATTTTTTAGGCCATGATACTATTCCAGAGAAAGTGTTGAGATAACCATGGCAGAAATATAAAACCTAAGCTTTGAACACCAGTAGACTTCTTATTCTGCCATTAAGTCTCTCTACTTTATCTGGTATTCTAAGAATTTATTCAAACCACTTAATAATTTGTCACCATTAACTTTAATATCCACTTTTAATCTGCACTGTAATATCCTGCTTTGAGAAGGAAGAATGCCTCATAAATTAGGGATGCACAAAATAAAATGTTTTGGAAGGTAATCCTGGCTCCTTTGGCTCTCATAATTATTTTATAGCTGTAAATAAAAAGTCAAGAACCTGGCCAGCTGTGGTGGCTCATGCCTGTAATCCCAGCACTTTGGGATGTTGAGGTGGGTGGATCACCTGAAGTCAGGAGGTTGAGACCAGCCTGGCCAACATGCTGAAACCCTGTCTCTACTAAAACTACAAAAAAGAAAAAAAAAAAAATTAGCCAGCTATGGTGGCGTATGCCTGTAATCCCAACTACTGGGGAGGTTGAGGCACGTGAATTGCTTGAACCCAGAGGGCAGAAGTTGCAGTGAGCCAAGATTGCCCCACTGTACTCCAGCCTGAACAACAGAGTGAAACACTGTCTCAAAAAAAAAAAAAAAAAAAAAAAAAAAAAAAAAAAAGTCAAGAAACTGAAATTCCCATTTTAAGTTCTCAAATCAGTGACCTGTCAAAATAGGCCTTGTAACTGAAATACCTTACAAAGCAATTCTAACTAATGCAATGTGTTTTTAAAAAATTTTTAACAAATCTTACATTGTAAAATAAACATAATTGCAATATATTTTAAGACTAACATTGGTATTTAATCCTTGAAGACCTGTCTTGTATGTCTCTCAATTTTGTCAGAATTTTTATTGTTTTTCACATATTATGTGAAATAAGCATTTTTTTTTTCAGGGTATATAGGGTATCTTTGTTTTACAGATTTTTAAAGATGAGGTTTTGAAAAGCCCTCAGAGGTTTTTGTTATCTTGCTTAATAAATGTCAACTTGTTACAGATTCACACATTGTAAGTAGGACAACATAACAGGAGATTGCTGTATGACTGCTGCACAGCAGTCAGCAAAATGGATCATGTTTGCCTGTGAAACTTCAGAGGTACCCTGAAAGTCATTTCCTAAAGCTAGTGCATCTGAATCTTTTTCCTTGAATTGTGCAGAACAATTGGATTGAGGCACATCTTTTGAGGAGTAACAAGTGGAAAATTATCTTGAAATGTAGCAAGGAAGAGAAACAAGTTTTCTTTCTCTACTTTATTGTTGGACTAATTGGGTCAATTTGCTGTGACATATCAAAGATCTTTTTGTGCCAGGCCAAGATTGGCTACTGAGTTCTCAAAGCATTTAAATATATAAATCGTATATGAGTGCCTATTTTTTTCTCCTTCTTTCATTTTCTAAATACTCTTTTTACTTTTGAAATAATTCATCTGTTTTACTTTATGACCAGCTTTAATTTCAATTAAGGAATAATAGCAACCCTAGAGATTCACAGTAAAGAGTATTGAAATACATTTTTTTTTTTTCAATAAAGATACCTAAAACCATCTCCCCAGCTTAGGGTTGAGCTGAATTTCTGTGAAATGAATTTATTGTTTTAAATACTAATTATTCTAAAACAACTTAATTCTTAAAAACAATGTGTTCAGTTTCAAAAGTTTCACTTTGGGAGGATAGTCCCAAAAAGGCATACATAGATGGGAAAGTATAAAATATTTCTGACAGAATTATTCAGTATTCTTCAAAATTTACTTCCATGTTTGTTATTGTATCACAAAGATAGTGTCATTGTTGGATTAAAATGTTGGCTGTTTTTGTTAATATACTTAAAACTGTAACCAGTGAATAACACCTGTAGTATTTTTTATTATAGATTATATTTTATTTCAATAAACTTTGATATTTAGACCAAAGTCTTTTTGCTCCATATATTTATGTCATTAAGCTACAAAGCTAAGATGACCGGGGAGACGGGGAATTGACATACTGATTCACATTTACCTAGGATTAACTCCGAATACTTGGATCAAAGAGAGAATTTCCCCACCTCTTGGAAGTAAATGAAGAGTTAATTCTAAACCATATAATAGCAAACTCCCTGACCTAGTGATAGATTTGTTATACCTGGCATGTCATTCCTC